GATACGTCGCTTGGACTACGTGTCGCAATTCACTACTGACATTCGAAACGTGGCTGGAATGTATAATGTCGTTGCCGACGCTCTCTCTCGCATAGCGGTAGTTTCTGATAACGTGATCAATTTGACTTTTATGGCACAACTGCAAGATTCCGACCCGGACTTGCAAAACGCATTGTATTCCTCTTTAAATCTTTAGCGTTTACCACTAACCACTTCCGAAGGCACGATCTGGTGTGATGTTCCACGCACCCCACCTCGTCCTTGGGTACCCGTACAGATGCGCAGAGTAGTTTTCGACACCCTGTATAACCTATCTCACCCGAGTATTCGGGCTAGTTCGGCATTAGTTAGCCAACGTTTTGTTTGGCAATCTATTCATAAAGACGTACTTAGTTGGGCACGTTGCTGTTTGGCATGCCAGAAATCCAAGGTAACCAGACACACTGCTAGCCCTATTGGTACTTTTGGCACTCCCGACGTCAGGTTTGGTCACGTACACTTAGATATCGTTGGACCATTACCACCATCGCAAGGATTCACTTACCTTCTGACCTGCGTAGATCGTTTTACATGTTGGCCAGAAGCAGTTACGATTACCGACGTCTCGACCGAAACCGTTAACTAAGGCGTTCGTTGAGCGTTGGGTGCTAATTTTGGTTGTCCTAGTACGGTAACTACAGACCGCGGCCCTCAATTTGAGTCCGCCTTCTTCAACTCGTTAATAACCATGCTAGGGTGCCAACGTTTACGCACTACAGCGTATCTGCCTGCCGCTAACGGCCTCGTCGAGCGTTTTCATCGACAGCTTAAAGCTGCACCAAGTGCACATTCCTTCATTTCGTGGACAGAGGCGCTCCCACTCGTCCTACTTGGTATAAGAAATGCCATCAAAGACGATCTTAAGTGCACACCGGTCGGATTAGTATATGGGACTACTCTCCGTCTTCCCGGAGAGTACATTTCCCCACACAAGGCTTCGCTCCAGGCAGCGCCGGATTACGTCCAACGGCTTACTCATCACACGCGTGAGTTGCATAAAGCAGTTTTCATACATTCGACTTGAAGACGTCCACACACGTGTGGGTGCGCTGCGATGCAGTACGCAGAGCGCTACAGGCTCCGTATAACGGCCACTACCGCGAACTTTGACATAGCGAAAAACACAGTCATCGATAGGAACGGTCGCCGCGACACTATCTCCATCGACCGTACGAAACCAGCTTACGTCGACCCAACATCCTTTTCGGCAACCCCTGCCAATCCGAGGGCCACGGACACTACCACCCCCATGGCCCCCGCCACATTGTCAACGACCCCAGGTTCGACAATTACTCCCACCCCGGCCACACTACCCTCCAATTATGGAACGCCTCCACTGCGTTCCGCTTTAGCTGGTTCAAACCCCAGAACCACGCGTATCGGCCGTTCAGTCCGTATTACAACTCGTTTTGTGGAATGTTTTTATTACTAATGTAATTTTTTTACAAAACAAAACTAAAAACGTGTTGGTATTCTGTTGACGCACATACCTGTTTTACCATTCCACACGTTGTCTATTGGCAATATTTGGTAACACTCGTAGAGATACCAATTGTAATCGTCCTCTTCACTGTCCGGAACCTCTTGGATTAAATTGCGCGATAACTTGCATGCTTCCTT